TGGTAGATCTACAAATGAGAAATCAACAACAAACCGTTCCGGAGTGTTTCTGTACCATTCTCGAAGATTCCTCCTGTGGAGGGACATGCCCGACTTACGTCTATGCTTACGTCGCGTATCCTTCTGTTGATTATTATTATTATTATTATCATTCGTCTTCTTTTCCTTCTTCGACTTGCAGCAGGAGAGCGAGCGGCCGCGGCGCCGCGGGGCGCGGGCGGCGCGGGCGCCCGCGAGGCGGGGCGCGCCTGGTAGTACGGGGGCGCTGCCGGGGCCCCCTGGGGCGCGGCCGCGCGTCGGGCGCGGCGGCGGCGCGGCGGCACGTCGGCGTCGTCGCCGGCGTCGGCGTCGGCGTCGGCGCCGCCGTTGTCGTCGTCGTCGTCGTCGTCGTCGTCGTTGTCGCCGTCGGCGTCGTCGTCTTCGTCGTCGTCGTCTTCGCCGTTCGCGTCGTCGTCGTCGTCGGCGTCGGCGTCGTCGTCGTCGTCGTCGGCCACGGATTGCCTAAGAAGATCCCGCCACTCCTGGGCTCCGGGGGCGGAGGTGTGAGTGGGGAGGTCAGGCTCGTCCTCCTACAGGCGGATTTCGGTAGAACCATATAGGAATCGTCCAAACAAAAGCCGATTTCTCGACGAGGAGATCCCCAGGTGTGCATCTCATAGTGATAGCAAGCTTCGGTAGAAGACATTGTCATCCTCAGTATCCGAGTGTCAGCAAATCCACGTGGAAAACGAGGCCGAGAGAGAGACGCCGACGACTACGACGACTTAAAGTAGTTGCTCCCTCCTTCCGTCCTCCTCCTCCTCCTCCTCCTTGTCTTCTTCCTCTTTCTCCTCCTTTCCCTACGAACACCTGTTAAGAAAATCTATCCGTGAAGATGAGAAAGGGCCCGTGCAATACCCTCTGGCGCACCCCCTTGGGAGTGCTGAAACCAGCGCCTCGCCTGAGACATCCTCGGCAACTGCTCCAAAAGAGAAGGATGTTGGGCACCCAAACAGGCAAGCCGCCTGAGACATCCCCCCAATCTGGGCGCGAACCGGCCCGTGCAATACCTCCTGGCGTCCCCGCGTGGGAGTGCTGAAACCAGCGCCTCGCTTGAGACATCCTTGGAATCTGCTCCGAAAGAGAAGGATGTTGGGCACCCAAACAGGCAAACCGCCTGGCCATCCCCCCGATCTGGGCGCGAACGGGCCTGTGATATACCCCCTGGCGCCCCCCCTTGGGAGTGCTGAAACCAGCGCCTCCCCTGAGACATCCTCGGCAACTGCTCCGAAAGAGAAGGATGTTGAGCACCCAATCAGGCACACCGCCTGAGACATCCCTCAATTCTGGAGGCGAACGGGCCTGTGCTATACCCATAGCGCCCCCCCTTGGGAGTACTGAAACCAACGCCTCGCCTGATACATCCTCACAACGTGTGTGTGAGTCTGAGCGCGGAAGTACCAGGAGTGTGAGTGAGTCTGCATATGATTGATCCCGAGCAAGAGAACCTTGAGTACAAGGAATCTAAGAGCGAGTGCATCTGAGTACGAGTGAGTCTGAGTATGAGTGAGTCTACATGTGAGTGAATCAGAGAATGATGACCTGAGGGTGGGAGGTGTGTGTGTGTGTGTTCCCTCGTTCTCCGCACGGTCAAAGTAATAACAAGAACCCCATCCTTCCGATATGGGAGAGAGCGTGATCCACCGCCGCTTTACTGTGGAAAATTGCCGCCCTTTTCCTCCGAACCCGGGGGTCCCCCCCCCTCCGAAAATCCCCCCCCTGCTGGAACCC